GTGCCTGCATATACTCTGCGACAAAAAGTTTAATATTCAAACTTGTGATCCCAAAGGCCGTAATGCTCTCTTCTACTCAGTGGCGTCAAGCAACTTTGAAATCACCAAGCTTCTGCTGGAAAGTGGCGTGAAGATAGTCTGTGATTCCATTGGCAAGTCGGTGTTTCATCTGATTTGCTCCAAGGGCAACGTCGATATGCTTGAGCTGTTTCACAATCTGAGCGATGAGTACGGATTTTCAGCTCTCATGTACAATTTGATGTTTACTCGCGACAAGGATGGCTTCAGTCCAATTGAGGTTGCTTGTGTCAAGGGCGAACAGCAGATACTCGAGTACTGTGTGACCAGAATGAACAAGAGCTTTGAGCTGCAGCTGATGCACTTTTCGGCGTAAGAGCGCAGTTTAATCCCGTTTTCCTACTTTGCTTACTAACCAAACCCTTTTTCCCCTATTAATCAGGTTCACCTCCAATTTGACGTTTATCAACTACGTGCACAGAAAACATGGTCGCTCTTTTCTAGCGGACACTGGTCATAATAACAGGTTAGCGTTATTTCTCCTTACTTTGATCTTTACTAATCGCACCCGTATTTGTTCTTTGTTCATAGAACCGTTCTACACTACGCCTGCATGTCAAAACGGGAAAACCTCGAGATGATTAAATTTCTCTGCAGAGATCTGGAGTTCGACATCAACGCGAAAGACGAGCAGGACCTGACCCCGCTGCTGTTGGCTGCGAGCGTCGGCAACGCCACCACCGTCGAGTACCTGATGACGCTGCCCTCGACGGAGCTGACCTTCGACGAGGACAACAACAACGTCCTCCACCTGGCCTGCTCCTCGGGCAGCGAGAAGACCGCCCTCACGGTGATGCGACTCGCCGACAAGCTGGGCATCGTCGACACGCTGGTCGCCTCGGTGAACGCCTTCAAGCAGACGCCGCTCCATCTGGCCGCGCAGAAGGGCCTCTGCGATGTGACGCAGGAGCTGATCTGCAACGGCGCCTCCATCAACGACGCCGACGACTTCAACTACACGCCGATGATGTACTGCGCCCGCGACCCGAAGGCCGCCTCCTGCATCAAAATGCTCTTCACCATCTTTGAGAGTGAAATTCAGAACAAGAGCAAGATGACTGATGTCACCTTTGACTAGGACGAGCCAGGTGGACAGACACTACTACTAGCTAGGTTTTCAAATTCAATTTCCATTTGACTGTTTTACTTTGCAACACTTCTTTTATTGTGTTTCTGTTCTCACCCACTCACCGACACATTCCGCGATTGAGATCGGGACCTTCCCCCTTCCTTCCTCCTCTCACTCTTTGAAACTGTGTTATCCTCCCCACTCAACAACTCTTGATACCTCTCTTTCTTTCTCTCTCATTGCCACAGTCCTCTAGCAGCTAGTCACCACACTTTGAACACTCACACACATTCCCTACGCAAGCTTCTATGTGGCGCGCCTAGTCCCAACGGCAGTGTCCACAACAGGCAGTGCCTTCTTCTCTTCTCTGTTTTTTCTATGTTGCCTTTCCTATGTTTTCGTCACCGAATGGGTTATTAAATTTCTTTATTTTTTCTTTCACCAAGTTCACTCTCTGATCCAACTGTGGAGTCCATTCATTTTTTATTGTGGAGAAGTGTGAGATTGGTAAAATAAATTAGGTACAAAACTTTGGTGGAGGAGGAGCAGGTATACCGACGAACACAACCAAAAGAAACAGAGGAAATTAAAATAAGAAGGATGAAACGAAACGAAAAGTACTGACGATGGAACAGAAAATCACAAAACGAACAAAACAGGTAAGGACAAGGATGATAAGGAAAATAAAGAAGAAGAATAAGTGTATGTTTGTGATTTGAATGCATTGCTGTTGCTGTNACCCACATTCCCTACGCAAGCTTCTATGTGGCGCGCCTAGTCCCAACGGCAGTGTCCACAACAGGCAGTGCCTTCTTCTCTTCTCTGTTTTTTCTATGTTGCCTTTCCTATGTTTTCGTCACCGAATGGGTTATTAAATTTCTTTATTTTTTCTTTCACCAAGTTCACTCTCTGATCCAACTGTGGAGTCCATTCATTTTTTATTGTGGAGAAGTGTGAGATTGGTAAAATAAATTAGGTACAAAACTTTGGTAGAGAAGAAGCAGGAGGTATACCGACGAACACAACCAAAAGAACAGAAAAAGAAAAAATTCATTCATTGAGGGGAAATTAAAATAAGAAGGATGAAACGAAACGAAAAGTACTGACGATGGANTGTCCACAACAGGCAGTGCCTTCTTCTCTTCTCTGTTTTTTCTATGTTGCCTTTCCTATGTTTTCGTCACCGAATGGGTTATTAAATTTCTTTATTTTTTCTTTCACCAAGTTCACTCTCTGATCCAACTGTGGAGTCCATTCATTTTTTATTGTGGAGAAGTGTGAGATTGGTAAAATAAATTAGGTACAAAACTTTGGTGGAGGAGGAGCAGGTATACCGACGAACACAACCAAAAGAAACAGAGGAAATTAAAATAAGAAGGATGAAACGAAACGAAAAGTACTGACGATGGAACAGAAAATCACAAAACGAACAAAACAGGTAAGGACAAGGATGATAAGGAAAATAAAGAAGAAGAATAAGTGTATGTTTGTGATTTGAATGCATTGCTGTTGCTGTCAATGAGAGTATCGAGATTTGAGAGTTAATGTTTAGCATGAGTTGAGATGATTATGAACTGATAAGGTTATGTGTGAAGGAGGGAGGGAGTGTGTGGTGTGAGTGGATTGAGAGCGAATGGAACATTGAGAATTGGAATGTTATGAATCGTATTCAATCAGTGTGACTACTGTTCTTCATTGGACGTTGAGTTGCAGTTCTTCAGGACCGCCTCCTCAATGGCTGCCGCTACACTGGAAGTGCCTGCTTCGGGCTTCACTTCATCAGATTTGCTGCTGCTCTCCTCCTTCTCGAGAGTGCCATTTTTGAGTGGCTTAGCCTTTTCTGCTGGCTGTGGAGCTTTGGCATCAGCCGATTTGGCTTTGCTCTTTTGCTCTCCACCGTGTGCAACACCTTCTCCCTTTTTACCCTCTTCGACCACCTGTTTGCCACTGTTTTCCTTAGCACACCCTGTGTCCTTGCTTGCACTTGTTCCCACCTCAACAGTTGCCCCATCAGCAGCAGCAGCAGCCTTTGCTGGTTGCTCTGCATGTGCCGATGCCGAGCACTTTTCACTCGCCTTTGACTTGTCGGCGCCTTCGCCCCCGTGATGCGAATGAGAGTGATCTCGTTTTTCAGCAGTTTTCTGGCAAAAAAAGAAATGGAGGGTTTTAGTAACTGAGAACAAAAATTTTTCAAAAGAAAAAAAAGTTTGAACTACCTCGCAAATGTAGCAACACCAGGTGTAGCCTCGTCGTTTAGGTGATTTGGTGAGAGGTGGTTCCAGACAGCCTAAAAATGGTAATGTTAGCTCAATAGTTGAACAGGGAAGATTCTCTCCAGTACTTACCGAAATGGTAGAGAAACATACAGCAATCACATCTGAAATTATCAACACAAGTTCAACAAGAGTGACACCACAAATCAAAACAAAAGGGGGGATAAGCAATGAAAAGCACTAATAAAAACTAGTGGGTGGTGATTTATTTACAATATTTGGAATGGATAAATATCACTACATGCAAACTCTCCTTCAAACAAGCGGCATGCACAAACAAAAGTTATGAAAGTTATGCTACAAATGCAAATGCAGTCCTCTCTCTACAAAGCAGTCAGGGGGTCGTAAGTTAATATAAAGCAGCAGCAGCTTAAAGCGAAACTCTTGTTGTCATTTACCTCACACTTTGCTTTGGCTGAGCCTCCTCCTTGCAGCCGTTGCACGGCTCAACCGGAACAGGACGCTTTTGCCCTGACTTGACCGGAGTTGGCTGAACGGCAACAGCTTCAGCAGGTGTTGATGATGATGCTTCAGTGGATGGAGTGGTGGCGCCCTCAGCGGCGACTGGAGCTTCGGATGAAGTGCCTGCGATGTCACTTCCGGCAGCGGCTGCCTCAGCAGGTTGCTGAGATTCGCCCTCCACATTAACGTTGTCAGAGGCGGCAGCGGTGGTACCTTCCTTGGATCCTCTCTTGTCCTTTGCCTTGTCACGCTTCCTCTTCTTGCTGCTGCTGCCGCCGCTGCTCTTTCCTTCACTCGGTGTTGAGGTGGCTTTGCTGGGGGTGGTGCTGGTGCTGGTAGTGGCCGTTGCGGCAGCAGTGGAGTTATCCAAAGAAGCCGTTCTTCCTCTCTTACGACTTTTGGCCGCACTGGAGGAGCCATTAGTACTGGAGGAGGAGGCGGCGGCACTGACCAGGGTGGCACTTGGGCGGCTACTGCGAGATCGACTGCGAGAGCTGCCCGAAGCAGAGCCGCCGCCACCACCACCGGAGAGGCCGCCGCTCGGGTAGATGACCAGCTGAGAGTTCAGCTCATTCTCGTACTTCACGGCANTAGCGGCACTGACCAGGGTGGCACTTGGGCGGCTACTGCGAGATCGACTGCGAGAGCTGCCCGAAGCAGAGCCGCCGCCACCACCACCGGAGAGGCCGCCGCTCGGGTAGATGACCAGCTGAGAGTTCAGCTCATTCTCGTACTTCACGGCAGACTTGGGGTTTTCGCGCAGCTTTCGAGTGCCACCTCGAGAAGAGGTGCTGCCACCACCACCAACACCACCACCACCGCCCTCCACAGTGCCGGGCGACTCGGCCACCGAGGGCGTGCTCGCCGATTCGGCCCTCTCCAGGGCGCTCTCCATCAGCTCCTCCTCCTCGACGTCCTTCTCCGTGCAGTTGGAGCACTGCCAGCCGCCGAAGCGGGTCTTCTTCGGCATCCGCCTCAAGGGCGGGTCCAGGCAGTACAGGTGGTAGTAGAGGTGGCAGCGGTCACAGAGCGCCAGCGAGTGCTGGTCCTTCGTCAGGCTGCAGGTGGCGCACTTCTGCTTCACCAGAATGGTCTCATTGGGAAGGGAGACGTGCTTCGGGTGTTTCGACTTTGACTTGCTGCTGCCCGACTTGATCAGATGCTGAAGTGAGTAGGCGTTGAAGGCGCTGTGGTGGTGGCCATTCTTCACTGAGCTGTCAGCTGCGTTTGGAGGATTGGCAGAGTGAGCCTTAGGCTTGATGGTTTGCATCTCGGGAGTGGCCAGAATTGCGCGACCAATTTTGAGACGTCTAATTCGTCGATCTTCCCCACTTCCATTCACTGCTGACTCTGGTGAATCCTTTTCACCATCCGTCTCTTGCTCCGTCGTTGGTTCTTTCACAAACGAGCACAAGATGGACAAAAGGCGGCGAATCTTTGCGCGCTTTGCATCATTTTCCGCCTTCAGCTTTTCATTGGTGGCATGAGCCTGAAAAATGGTGGTGAAAGAATCAGCGGTAAAAAACAGGTAGGAAAAAAGGATGCCCAAAACCATGTACCTCATCATATTTGCTGCGAATCCGGGCGTCCGCCTCTTTCAGTTTTTTGTTCTGCACTATAAGCTCTTGAGATTGCTTGGTGAATGAGGAGATTCGCTCATCCCGATCTGATATGATTGAAGGATGAGAAAAGAGAATGCGTGTTATGCATCACAGCACTTACCCATGTAGTAGCTGACAAACTCCACGGAAAAGGTCGGCGGAATGTACCACTTCCGGCGAATGTCGATAATACTGTCGAGGGCGAGCTTCTGCTGGAGGCGCGGCACGTCGACGCCCACCATGCTGCCCTTGTTGTGCAGGCGGCGAATGACGATCGGCGAGGAGTTGAGCATCTTCGGGATCTTCTTCTCACGTTCTGTTAATTAAATGGGACAATGAAAGTTAAGCTCGCAGAGTTCGGAGGAACTCTTGCACCAAGTGACTTACCACCTGGCTCGCTCCTCGGCTGAAAGAAGCGATCAAACTTCTGCTGCTGGAGGAGCAGTTTGCTCATCGTCCGGTGGTTGGTGATGTGGTCCTCGACGTTGGTGCCGCTGGCAGCCCGATCTCGCGCCAGCATGCGACTCTTCGCCTGCAGCGCCAGGTAGTTGCGTCGCTTCAGCTTCGCCGCCTGCTTATCAGCGTGCATCTTGCAGTACGCGTAGTAGGGGTCCACCTCGTCCAGCTGCTGCGCGCAGAGCAGCCCCTCGCGCTGGGCGCAGGTGGCGTGGAAGAAGGTCTTGCACATGCCGGCGTCGCTGTATTGGGGGGAAGAGAGTAAAGAAGAGGGTGAATAATCGATCTACAAAACATCATCAACCGAGCACACATACCAGCCGATAACCAGTCCGGTGTTGTTGAAGCGGCCGTCCTCGCACAGCGAACAGGGCTTCGTGCCCCAGCGACTGAAGTTGATGCTGCGCAGCTCCGGCCCGCGAAGTCGCTCCACATCGGCGAAGGTGATGCCATTGTAGAGGGCGCAGACCATGTGCACCCACCGACCAGTGTCGGCGTACTTGAAGATGCCACCTGAGTTGGGGCAAAGTTCGCACGCCTGCAGCAAAGTTAAAAAAGAATGAAAGTACTGGTCTTTGATGATCTTTGATGAAAATAGAAAGCACTTACCGGATTGGTGGTGTTAGCCATGCACGGGTCACAGAACCACGGCTCGGTGGAGCAGGAGGAGGCATCAGAGTGGACGGACTCGGAATCGTCGGCGGTGATGCCGTAGCAGAGCTCGTGCACTGATATGCCACAGGAGTCGCACTCCACGATTTCGTCGTCATTCCGAGAGACATCGCCCAGGCAGACGCAGCAGACGAGAATCTTCTTCAGTCGAGATTGCTGCGCCTGGAGGGATTCCTTTGCGGGCACAGTGCTGTTAGTCGTTGTGCCGCTGTTAGCTGCCGCCGCCGGCTGACTAGAGGCTGACGAGCCCAGGAACTGTTCAGTCTTTGCAAGCGTGCTGTTGGTAATACTGGTGGTGTCCAGGTCAGAGTCGGCTGCAAGGCCGATGTTCACCTCTTCGTCTTCGTCCTCCTCGTCGATCGACTCATCCGAGTCCTCATCGTCGCTGTTGCTGTCGCTGTTGTCACCCTGGTTACCATTCTGTTCAGTTTCACTTTTCTTCGTCTCCTTTGCCTCGCCATCACTGTCGCCGTCTTCATTCAAGTGCCCCGGATTGTAGTCGCTGTCATCACTTTCGCTATCATCTAGCCCTAGATCGTACGACAAGATGCTCTCCACTGGCTTTATTCGCCGCTTATTCGGATCTCTTGATACTAGACAAAGCAAATAAACAAAACAGTAAAGTAAACGAACAGATAAAGAGCTCGAGAAAGGTCCAAATAAACTTACTTAGCGACTTGTAAACAAAGCCCATCGCGTCATCTTCAAATGCAGGCTTGTCGTCGTCTTTTGCCAACGACTCCTTATGCTTGGGCATTTTGTGATCGGAGATGAAGATCTGATTCGAGATCGCTGTGAGACGGTCTGTAGAGGAGTGAGTGATCTACTCAGCAGAGGTGAGTGAGTGGCATTGGATGAGAGTGAGAGCGAGTTGAGAGAGCTACTGTTCAGCTGCTAATCAGTTGAGCACACCGAGGTGTAATTGGAGCGCTCAAGGAGGAATCGATTTGAATGGCGACGGCGGCAGCGGTGGCGGCGTTGGCCTGGAAGGAAGGCAGGAAGAGGACCCCACCACTCAGCTGCCGATGATATGCTCGGGTATTGGCGAGTCAGCAGTGGCAGAGACTGTCAAGTGGTTTGTTTGTTTAGTGTGAGGATCGATTTGGAGAAAAAGTTGGTGCACGGTAAATTGGCCAGAACGGGAGAGACGGAATGAGGGACGGATCACCCAAAAAAAGAGAGAGAATGTTCAGGCGAAAGGAGAGAAGGAAGGAAAGCCAGCGAGACAACACACAGACTCGGGCTGGTGGTGGTGAAAGGCAGGCACAGGCCAGCGGCAAGAGATCAGGCACAGGCGCAGTGGCAACCCTCGCTGGATGCGCCACTGCTGCTGCTGCTGCTGCTGCTGGAACCGTTCCAGGAACAAAGCCAGCAGAGAGCATCGACTGCGGAGGAGTGTGCTCAGTCAGTGGTCGGGCGCCAGCAAGAGCGACTATATCCGCGCCGTCAGCAGAAAGACAGCCAGAGAGAGAGAGTCGCTGCGATCCACTTCAACTTCGAAGCAGGCACAACTGACGCTCCTCAGGAACTCCGGAGACGGACAATAGCGGGCGCTAATTAGAAGGGGTACTCTGGCGATGGCTGGCTGGATGGCACTTCCCGGGATACTAATTAGAGCGCTGTACGCGATTTAGTCAGAGAGGCTGAAATGTGACACTCTCAAAGATAGATTCAGTGACTTTCGCTTCTGCTTCTGCGGCCGCTGCGGCCGGCGCAGCCAACAGCCGATCAGTTCGACCACTCGGGTGGCAATAGCAGCATTGCCAGCGCGCGTTTCGATTTTATTTTCGAAAATCGTAGTGGAAGTTTTTGTAGCCTTGTCATCATCATCGTCATTGTCATTTAATTACTTTGTTTTATTTTATTAGTACGACTGCACTGGGTAACGATGAAAAAATGTCAATTGAAAAATTACTATTATTGAGTCAGAGTTTAGGAGTGTCTGTGTGTGGTGTGTGTATTGCGTGTTTGTGTCGTGTTGTGTTTTGTATGTTACAATGTATAGGTGTTTGTACAAGTGTTTGTGTTTTACAGGTGGTGTGTACAGGGTAGGGTAAAAAGGCTCCAAGGCCAGCGTCAAGGCGGTCAGGTGGTGGTGGTCAGCAGGTGTAACTGGAGATGCAGCACTTGAGGTGGCACTCACTCGCCGCTGAACTACCAACTTTCGCATTTGACGCTGTGTGCTATCGCAATTTTTGATGATCACATTTGGCGGTGTGGTGGTGGAGGTGGTGGTGTGCACAGGTTGAAGAAATTCACTCTCGCTTGTTCTCCTTTGCGCGGGGCTTCTTTGTTCTGAGTGGAAGGGGATCACTCTCTTTACGGTGCTCAACGTGTGCGTGTTGAGGAGTTGTTGTTGTTGTTGGTGGTGGTGGTTTTGTGTGGAAATGTTGGTATTTTTCTTTCTTGTTGCTGTTGTTGTTGATGTTGTTGTCGTAGTTGTTGTTTTGAGGTCAGTGTTGTTGTTACTGTAGTGGTGGTGGTGGTAGAGGAGGATTCTCATTCTCTCGCTCTGGCTGTGTTGTGTCTGGTGGTGGTGGTAGTGTTCAATCTGCTGTACTAATCTCTCTGTGGTTAGGAATTAGTTTATTTGTTTGAAACTTACACACACTGTTTTTGTTGTAGAAAGGGATTAAAAAGGTAGCCTTGAGGAAGGTACGTAGTGAGGAAGTGGTACAGGTAGCAGGTTTAAAGTGTGAATAAACTTTCTCTCGCTCGCACACTCTTACACATTTGAAGGGAGGGGGTTTAAAAGGGACAGTAATTAAAAGTAGTAATCTAAGTTGCAAAAACTGCAAGTTTGGAAACGGGAGGAAAACGCGTTCTATCAAGTACGGCGAAGCTTCAAAGGTGCACGGCGCCACAGCCTGGAGGGAGTTTAAAAGTTAAACTGACCCTGATCGTTGTTGTACATGTTGGACGACACCTGATCACCGGTGCCAAAGGTGAACTGGTCGTTATCAACGTTAGGGACCAGGTTGGTGTCGTCTTCATCAGTGCCAAAGTACTTCTCGATGATGTCGTACACCTTCTGGTAGATTTCCACATTGTCGTGAGACTGCAGAAATTCAATCTTATCAACGCCTATCAAAAGAATGGAAAAGGATTAGTTTTGGTGAATGAACACACACTCCTCCGCCACAATGCACTTACCGCCACACTGCTCGACAATGATGGCGTAGGGGTTTTCAGTTGAGCCAGTCGTCTTCGATATCTGATCACCGGTGCGCAGGATATTCTCCAGGCCATTGAGGGCGACCATGATCATGCGAGAGTCGGTGACGGAGAGAAACTCGCACAGTGGAGGAATGGCGCCCGCCTCGACGATGTACATAATCTGCTTCTGATTGCCGCCTGTGGTGGCGTTGGTGATGGCCCAGGCGGCCTCCTTGCGCACCTTAAAGTCGCGGTGCTGCAGCATCTGAATCAGCGGCGGCAGGATGTTTGAGTTGATGACCGCCTGAATCTGCTCGCGGTTGCCGGCGGTGATGTTGGAGAGCGTCCAGCAGGCCTCCTTCACCACCGACTCCTTCTGGTGGGAGAGGAGGCCCAGCAGCGCCGGCAGGGCGTTTGAGTTGATGATGACCTGCGTCTGCGAGTCATCGCCGGTGACGATGTTGCCCACGACGCGCAGGGCGGCGGAGACGACGCCAGTAGAGGTGTGGGTCAGCAGCTCGACGACACGTCTGCAGACGCCCGAGTCGATGACCGCTTGAATCTTCTCATTTGGGCCGTCGCTGAGGAAGGAGAGCGACCAGCAGGCGTCCGCCAGAACGTCCGCATCAGGGTTGAAGATGAGTCGAGAGAGCACGGGAAGACACTGCGAAACCTGCTCAAAGTTCGGATGTGGGTTCTTGCCGCGACACAGATTTGACAGCGTCCATGTGGCGTTTCGCATCATTGAGAGCCTCAGATTTTCGCCGAACAATCTGAAGATTTTTAAACTAATGAGAACTTTACATGACTCTAAGGACACATGTGCTTCTTTCACTGAGGGGTACTTACCCGAGCAAAGGTGGCAACACATTGCTGTTCAGTACGTAGTCGCGGCATTGAGTTGAATCGCCGGCGATGTTGCCCAAAGCCCAGACTGACTGTTCGACGACGTCCTCATTCGTAGAGGTAAGCAGCTTGATGAAGACAGGGACGGCGCCCGCCTCAATCACCACCCGGGTCTGGTCAGAGTTTCCCGAGGCGACGTTGGTGAGAGCCCAGGCCGACTCAAACTGAAGTAAAGGATTGCGGTCGTCGTCGAGAAACTGAACAAATCGAGGGACAATGCCCGTTTTGATGACCTCTTCAATTGGCGGATTGGGCTCTTTGGAGAGCAACTTGCGGAATCTCTGCGTGGCGTCCAGCTGTGTCTTCGGGTCTTCCTGGTACAGGGCGGCGACCATTTCAGGGGTGATGCCAGAGACGCCGTTCTCCTCGGAGAGCGAGTCATCGCCGGTGTCAGAGACGACCAAGTTGCGTCTTTTAGACAGTTCGTTATCACGTTTCTGCTTGCGCAGCTGAATTCCCTCCTCTTCTCTGCGGCGGCGGAGCTCCTGGGCGTCCACGCCGGGATTTTTGTAGCGGTTTCGGTGAGTGCTGTTCGACATGGTGGCCAGACGGTCAAAAAGAGTTCACTAACGGGTGGAATCGATGGCACACACTAAACCTGAAGAGGAGGGGGAGGGTGAAAGAAGAGAACATGTGTTAGCAAGTTGGGCAGCTTTGAAGAGGTAAACAACGGCTCAAAGCGAAGCGTAGTGCAATGTGCGAGCAGAGCCGAACACACACACACACAGAAGACACACACTGGCCTTTTCTTCCAGTGGTGTGGCGCACCGCAAGGACAGTGAACGCTAGTAGTGGACGCACCGAAATGACTCGCCTGGAGAGCAGCTAAGGAAGGGGTGGTGATAGGGTGATGCGGGGGTGATTGCTGATCTAGATTGGTGAACGCAGGTAAGGTCAAGATCAAGGAGGATTGCGCGGACTGTTGGCGAAGAAGACGGTTTGCAAACCGAAAAAAAGTTGAGCTGCTGCTGCTGCTGCTTGGCGAGGAAGAAGACCAAACACAGAGTTCTGTTTTTGAAACGCACTGCAGGCGCACAGTTTCGCCGAGCGGCCAGCGCCAACTTTTGCCTCGCTGCACCCCAAACAGTAGCGTCAGTCTGTCCGTCGGCTAGCACGGCAACAGTACAAGTTTGGTTTCTCAGAGCGGCCAATCTTTTCGCCTCCAGCTCTTGCTGCCACACGCCGCCGCTCCGTAGATAACGTGACGGGGCAGCTGATGATGCAAAAAAAATTAAGTTGGCAGCAACAACAAAAAGAAACAATGCTCTTCAAGAGAGAGTGGCCACTTCAGGTGATACTGAAGTGCTGGTCGCTGGTGATGATAAGGTCAGCCTGTCCGGATAATGGTAGGGAAGACAAAGCAAGACAGGTGATTCACCACTTCAAAGCGCCCGGCGACAGCTGTTGTAGCTGCTGCTGCTGCTGTGCATCATCAGTTGCTAAATATTTGTCCAACTATTTTTAGAGTCACAGACACCACCACTTTGTACTTCTTGTACAGAAGAGGAAGAATATGATGGAAGCATTTCACTTGGCACAGTGTTACTTACCCAAAGATGAAAAAGAGGGACGCCGAGTTGACACACTTTCTGCCAAGAGCTAATTCTCTTTCAAGCGAAGAGCAGCGGGAAGCAGGCAAGGGAGCGCGAATCCGTCGATGGCACTGGTGAAAAATGCAAAGTGTGGAAGAAAAGCAAACAAAAACGGGATTTCTAAAAGAAGAGGGGGGGTGATAAATTGGTGTGAAATGATGAAATCGAGCAACTTGTCTGGCCTAGTCTGCTTAAAAAAAAGAAAGAAGCTGCCGTTTGCTGCGCTCTCTATCTTTAAACTCTTCTGCTGACGACACACTCAATGTTTTTCGAACATTTTTTTTTCAATCAAAAGATGAACCTGAGTGTCCGGTCGTCGATTATCAGCACTGTTGGCGCCCACTACACTACACTAGCTAGTGGTGATGATATTGGTACTGGCATCGTTGGTCATCATCGTCATCATCGGGCGCCACCAACGCCATCACTCTGTACGCCGTCTCACGTGGCCACNTCAATCAAAAGATGAACCTGAGTGTCCGGTCGTCGATTATCAGCACTGCTGGCGCCAACTACACTACACTAGCTAGTGGTGATGATATTGGTACTGGCATCGTTGGTCATCATCGTCATCATCGGGCGCCACCAACGCCATCACTCTGTACGCCGTCTCACGTGGCCACTTCCAATGACGCATCCTCTCTCCTAGAACGATTTCATTCCTTATCGTTCACCGTATGCAGATGAGAAGGGGAGAAAAAAGAAAAAGCGGTTATTACGTCTACTGAATTAATGAGTTCTCCATTAAGAATGATTCTATTCTCCCTTATCGGGGTGAAGTGAAGTGACTACGCTCGGCTCAAATGCCACCATCGTTGCCTGGAAACTGCTGCTGCTCTTTCATTCTTCCGCATTCGAGAATTCTGTGTGTATGCGCCCGTCTCCATCAGAATTGATTATTCCCGACACTGGCCACCACCATTATGATCGGAAGCCAGNTCTTGCTTATCGAGTTGAAGTGAAGTGACTACGCTCGACTCAAATGCCACCATCGTTGCCTGGAAACTGATGCTGCTCTTTCATTCTTCCGCATTCGAGAATTCTGTATGTATGCGCCTGTCTCCATCAGAATTGATTATTCCCGACACTGGCCACCACCATTATGATCNCCTTATCGGGGTGAAGTGAAGTGACTACGCTCGGCTCAAATGCCACCATCGTTGCCTGGAAACTGCTGCTGCTCTTTCATTCTTCCGCATTCGAGAATTCTGTGTGTATGCGCCCGTCTCCATCAGAATTGATTATTCCCGACACTGGCCACCACCATTATGATCGGAAGCCAGCAAAATTGCTATCTTTTGAACTTGCCCGCACTGAGCAGCACTGTGGCGCACTATCTTATCGGAAGGTTAATTTAACTTTCTTTTGCACGGCTGAAAAATTCAAAGATGTACTTAAATGGGGCGGGGCTGAAGAGAGAAGAAGAAGCAGAAATTGTGCCAGAAAAGAATGATGAATTATTGAGCGATTCACTGGCGAATCAGTGACGCCAATAGTGTGAGGGTGCCATAACAAAGTCAATTATGTTCAGTCCTGCTTTCGGTTTGGCACTTCCACAGCTTGATCATGAGCTAGCTAGCCTGACAAAGTGTCCAATTAGTGTGAGGTCTGCCTTCAATCGAGTGATGCCCCACTTTCTGGGAAGTTAAAGGAACAATTATAGCTCGCCAGAACGCTGAAAGTCACGCAAAAAGTATTTCAATTCACGATGAATGTTGGGTCACGCGGCAACCAACGCCATTTGACGGAATTCAGTCTGAGAGAAATCGAAAGGCGCTGATTGCTGCTGCTGCTGCTGCTCCCTCGTTGTCATGAGACATGAGAGAGATGTCGTCGAAAATGGCGGACAATTGGGAAACACTGGAGAGGAGAGAGAGAATGGCGTCAATGGCATTCTTGGCCGTGGTTGTGCGGTGGCGTCACCGATAAGGCATCACTGATAACGAGCAAGCAAGTCGACGGAACCAGTAGAAGAAGACGAAGTAGGCATCTTCTTTTGAGGCAGGCGCCATCACCTCTATAGCAGCCTCCTCCTCCTCCTCTTCTTCTTTTGGCGACCACTATTTAAGCGGGCCCGACGGTGCTCCACAACCGAGTTTGAAGCGAAAGGTTTTCACTGGTCATCTACGTTTCATTCAACAGTGATGGCCCACCTTCGTCGGATTCACTTTCAGGGGCGCAAGTGCTGCTCCACCGTCTCCGTAGCCAGCATGCCCGACTTTAGCGACGGCTACTTTGAGGAGCTGAAGAAGAAGATTCGCCTCATCACTGACCACAACCAGCACAACCACAACCAACACCAACAGCAGCAGCAACAGCAACAGCAACTTCAGCTGCAAAATCGGCAAAAGTTGAGTCCGAGCAAAGAAGAGGAGGAAGAAGCTGCTGTGTTTCAAGAGGAGAAAAGTGCAAAATCTGAAGTTGAAAAGGATCAAAAGTCGTCTGAAAAGAAGGACGAGCAAGAGGCAGCTGCAGTGGTGCAGCCGACCGGTGGTGATGGCCAAAACAGTGCCATCATCTTCTCGCTGAAGAATCAAGTCACCGGACTGGTGCGAGCGTTGCGCGTCTTTCAGGTAAAATTTTGAGTTTTCGTTAAAAGGTAAGAAACACTTCTTCCCCTCTGTCTCAGGAGTTCAACATCAACGTGCGTCACATTGAGTCGCGCAAGTCCCGCCGAAAGACCTCCCAGTACGAGATCTACGTGGACATCGACTGCGAGGACAAGGAGAAGATGAACGTGCTGCTGCACCACCTGCGCCATGAGGTCGACTGTACGACGTACGAGGAATTTGAGCGCATCGAAAACTCGCCCATGGTCAAGGAGTTTCCCGCGCTGAAGACCGGTCACTCCATTCTCACCTCGCAATCCTCCTTTGACACTGGTAATTGAGAGTTGGTTTTGTTGTGTAAAATCAATTGCTGAGATCTTCAACATTGAAGGCGAGCTAATCGGCGAGGATGGCATGCCCTGGTTCCCCAAGCGCATTATCGACATTGACCTGAGCGCCAATCGAGTGCTGATGTACGGTGCCGAGCTGGACGCTGACCATCCGGTGAGTGGATAATGCAATTACCAATGACTACTATGAACAAACAACATTGCCTCACAAAACAGGGCTTCAAGGATCCAGTGTACCGAAAGAGACGCAAGTACTTTACCGATCTGGCCATGCAGTACAAGCAGTAAGTGCCTAGTTTGATGCAAGTTTGATTAAGTCAAATTGGTTATTGATCCCCTTTATCACCAGTGGAAAACCTATTCCCCGAGTGAACTACACCGAGGTTGAGGTAGGTGTCACTCGGTATGTTTTCAACAAATTACATTTGTATTGTTGTAGACCAAAACCTGGGGCGTCATCTTCAAGGAGCTGAAGGCGCTCTACCTGGCGCACGCCTGCAAGGAGTTTAATGAGAACTTTGCCCTCCTCGAGAAGTACTGCGGCTACCGGGCGGACAACATTCCCCAGCTGGAGGACATTTCGCAATTCCTGAAGCGTAAGTCTTCAGAACTAAAAAGGGGTTTCAGTTTTTACTAAAACTTCTACTAAATGAGCAGAGCGAACCGGTTTTCAACTTCGCCCCGTTGCTGGCTACCTTTCCTCGCGGGACTTTATGGCCGGTCTGGCGTTTCGCGTCTTCCACTGCACACAGTACATTCGCCACTCCAGTGATCCCTTCTACACGCCCGGTTTGTTTGTTTAGATTGAATTGAATCCAATGTTGTTTACATTGATTATCGTTATCCCTCCAGAGCCTGACTGCTGCCACGAGCTGCTCGGCCACTGTGCCCTGCTCGCCGACCAGAGCTTTGCGCAGTTCTCGCAGGAGATTGGCCTGGCGGCGCTGGGCGCCAACGATGAGGAGGTGGACAAGCTGGCCACCTGCTACTTCTTCACCATTGAGTTCGGTCTGGCGAAGCAGGACAATGAGCTGAAGGTCTACGGCGCCGGACTGCTCTCGTCGGTGGCGGAGTTGAAGGTTAAATAGAAAGAGTTTAGCTGTTTTCAATAATCTTTTTTTCTTTTCGCCTCAACCACACAGCACGTCGTCTCCGGCTCTGCGCACATTCTGGCATTTGACCCCATTCTCACCTGTCAACAGGAGCCGATGATCACTACTTTTCAGCAGGTCTACTTCTACACAGACTCTTTCACTGATGCAAAAGAGCAGATGAGGTTGCTGTTTTTAAAATGGTGAAATTCAAAGTCTAAATTTTATCTTTCTTTTAGAGAGTTTGCCAAGACGATAAAGCGCCCTTTCGGTGTACGGTACAATCCGTACACTCAAAGTGTGGAGATACTGAGCAACACGAGGAAGATCATGGACCTGGTCAGCGAGCTGAAGGGCGACCTGTGCATCGTGACCAACGCATTGGCAAAGATCAAGGAGGACAACGACAACAGCAACAACAACAACCACAACAATGAAGAAGCTCTTGAGCTGCACCAGTCTTCAGCCCGGGCACTTCTTCAGCAGGGCGCCCTGGTGGCACTGCCCAACATCGGTGAACAGCAGCAGCAGCACAACACTGACCAGTCTCAGACTGAGGCCACACCGACGGAGAACGCAATGATCGAGGAGATGATCAACGCCGTGGAGGACATTCAATTTCACAATCAGACTGAGCCCTAACTCTTCTCACGCTGCACTGGCTAGAATCAGAGTTAAGTTTAGAGCGTTGAGGGAACCTTAGAAAAGGTATAGCCAAGTTTGCCGGTAGCGATTGCAATCGAGATGTTATTAGTAGAAGTCATAGTATAGTGGTGGTAATAAAAGAAAGAACATAAGGAGTGATTTGAGAGAAAGAGAGTGAGAAGACAACAAATGAAGAGAGAAGGTTTGATTTGAAAAGGAAGAATGTGTAGTCTAGAGGAGAAAGTGTGGTGTGTGTACAAAGAGAAAGGAGTAATCACAATTGAAAATACTAAATTATTAGGAGTTTGTGAAGGGAGAAGGGAAAAGTAATTGGGAGTAAGGAGTATGTGAAAGAAATTGGAAAAAAGTATTTAGTGTGTGTATGTGTGTAATAGGTTTGAGTAGCAAGCACCTTCTCATTTGGGAGTAATGATAATTCACCTAGCAGAGTTCATTTGTTAATTAGTTAGCATGAGATTCGAGACCAAAAAACAGAGAAGTGAGTGAGTGAGTGAATGAGAGAGAGAGAGAGAGAGAGAGAGAGAGCATTAGAAGAATTCATTCATCAACAGAGATATATCACGCTTAGCGGTTTGAAAAAAGAGAGAGAGATGTGAGAAGAATGAGATGAAGCAGATGAGATGATCATGAAATTTGAAAGAAAGTGCAAAAAAGGAGAAGGATTTGGTGTGTTAGCTAAATAGTAGGAGTGTGTGTGGGTGTGTGTGTGTATCATTATCATGTTATCTACTGCTACGAGCAGTCACAGCGGTCGACGACCATGTTCGGCAGAATGCCGTAGATGATGTTGAAGTCAGAGTCCATGTAGAGCATGCTGATGGGCGACATGCGCCGCGGGGAGCAGCACGGCCCTGTCGGGTTGAAGTGGTTGGTCTGCTGCAGCAGGTGCGTGTGCGGGTAGCCGTTCATGAAGATGAGGCCGCACTCGCCGCTGCAGTAATTGGCCTCGTAGCGCTTCGGCGCGATGATCCACTCCCAGCCAAAGGACTCAAAGTCGATGGTCAGCGGGTAGCGACAGCAGCGTACCTCGGTGCTCTTGTCGTCGCAGAACTCGGGCGCATTTGAACGCCGAGAGCGGTGGTGGTGGTGATTGTGGTGGTGATGGGCGGGGGAGACGTGCACCTCAATGAAGGGCTTCATCTGAAGGTAAATAGTGGGAGGGGAGAGTTTAGTTGGTTAGTTTGAGCTAGTGTTTGTGAATAGGACTTTTCGTATTGTACCTGTGATGCAGCTCCGCCAGAAGCAGAAGCCTCGTCCTCAAAGTGGACAATGGGCAGAGCGGTGCCGTGCACCGATTCGTGCNCTTGTGCTGGTGTTTGTGAATAGGACTTTTTGTATTGTACCTGTGATGCAGCTCCGCCAGAAGCAGAAGCCTCGTCCTCAAAGTGGACAATGGGCAGAGCGGTGCCGTGCACCGATTCGTGCGTGTGAATGACCAGACCGAGGTTTTCCGTCGGCCGGAGGAGCCACTCTCGCACCAGAGCGGTGACGTTGACTTTGATCCAGTCGGCTCGACTGAGCGCCTTGTTGTTCAACTTGGTGTTGGGGACCTAGATGAGGAGATAATAGAGGGTGAATTAGAGTGCTGTACGCCTGTTCTAAAATCCCCCTTACCAGTGTGGACTTGAGCGAAGTGACATTGGGTACCACCTTGTAGATGTGAATGTGCCCTACTGAGCTGGTGTCCAGCGAGGAGGCGTACTCACGGGAGCCGTTCACGTACAGCCACAGAGTGGCGTGCTCCAGGTGCGAGTTGATGATGCTCTGGGGGAACTTGAAGAACTGCGCTCGGTGGCGAGGCAGAACGTTTCGTTGCGGTGGGGCTGAATCAGAAAAAAGTTGATTAGAATAGCTTGAATAGATTGTAAGTGGTAATGGCTTTCTAAATGATTGCAAGGGTCAACAGTAGCTGCAGCGAAAACAGCAGCAAGTTGGTGGGAAAAAATGTTA